AAAACGTTCTTAGAAGAGATTTGAAGTCACAATGCCTTAATTATATTATGTACATGTATATGCATAGTTGATTAAAAAGGAAACGCAATGTACTTAAGAAAAAGTTGCTAATTAGTTTTGTCATCAACAGATTAACTCAGTGCTGACACAACAAGTTATGATTTTTTAATTATTAATTATTTTATGTTTTTCAGTTTTACTGTCTCTTTCGCATTCAACTGTCGGGGAATACCTGAGGCATCGGTCTTAAAATCGAAGTACAAAAAATTAAAATACAAATTATCCAATATTCAAACTGAATTGTTTTATTAATTTAATAATTCATCACATACAAAATGGACTAGAGGGGTGGTTGTTGGTTCTGCTGAAGATGTCGCGAATCCTCGATACATTGACATTAAAGATTCCCGTGAATCAATTAATGTATTTATATGTTTTAAAGGTGAACTTTGCAGAACAGAAATGAAACTCACAGGAGTAACGACCTAATCCGTAGATCAAGACGATTGCAATTGTTGGTTTGGATTCAAATGGACATTACTGAACGCTTTAAATTCAATTCGCAAGGAAGTGTGACTTTTAAATTCCTGACGATTTCCACTTTCGTAAACACATTCGCTTGTGCAATTTCAAACCTGCGTGTGTTTTACCGCCTTTTATTTACGAAACAATAAATAACTCAGTCAAAGTCAAAGACGTACAGCACTTACGCATTAACATAACCCAAGAGCAATAAAAGCGGGACGATCGGGAGATGCTGATTATGAAATGTTAGTTAAAGGGCATTTCGACTATCAGGATAAATAATGCTATAAATATGTGCATATACAACAAATGTCATCTTATAGATAATTTAAACAGAATTTATACCCTCCCAATAATTGTTGAAGCTTCTAGGTCGGGTGGGAGGTTTTGGGCTGGTTTGGCAACAGAGTTCTGCTTTTTCTTCCGCAATTGCGGAACTTCTGCACACTCGTCTGCAATTGCTTTAGCAGTTTTTTTATAGGAGTGAGATTAAGTACCAGAAAAATATAACGTTATATCTACAGGAATATCCCTTAAGTGGTGGAAATGAAATAGCATAAGTTAATGCGTCCACAACAAGGGTGTCTTTGGGTTTATTGTTTTTGTGAAAAGTTATAACGAAGCTCTATGGCAAAAGGTTCGATTAGAAACGTAGATACATTGATAGATTCAGATAATTAGGTTCTTTGTGATGCTACTTCCTGGAAGCAATACCAAGACCGATACTGTCGCAGTCTTGGTATTGGTTTTGGTCTCGCACAAGTACTTCTATACTTGGTCTTGCTGATACAGTCTTGATGTTGGTTTCGTTCGGTCTTGATTTTAGTCTTGTTCTTGTTCGTTCAGTGTCGGTCTTGATCTGGTTAGTAGAAAGATAGTCTTGATCTTGATTTTGCTCCTACATTTTTGCAAAACAAAGACTAAGGCTGCAAGACAAAGACTAATTTTGCTCTCACTACAAGCGTATTGTGGAGTGGAATGTTTAAAAATCAGCTGAAAATATCGTTCTTCTGGACTTCCACAAGAATATACTTAAACAGTATTGCAATTTAAAAGCCTTTTTTTGTTTCAATTAAGGAATTTGTATATTGTAAATGGAAAGCTGTTAATAGTGGCGATTGGTTTATGTAAACATTTGAAGCATCTAATTTCTCGGTTTTACGATTGAACGATCGGTTCTCGGCGTCCGTGAGAATGGCCATTTCGGCGAAATTTCAATTTTAATTGCAGGTCCGTAGTAGAAAAAGACTATCGTCTTAAATAAACGTTTTCGTTTTAAGTTTTGCCGTCATAAATATTTATGTTTCAGATCGATCTCGAACGCCCTAGATAATTTCTCGGTTTAAATATAAATTTTATTTCTGTACTTTATATTCACACGCTCTCTCACGTACACACACACATATATTCAGACACATTAACACACACATACATACACACATAATGAAATGCATCTGCTTTTTGCGTTAACACACCGATTTCGTCAATGCTAAATCCAAGCGATAAGGTAACCGACCTAATCCACATGCATCACCTATTAGATTAGAAGCAAACGAAATTTCTTTAACTGATTCGTCACTCATCTAACAATCCCTTTATGAGTTAATCTGTTAATTGAAAAGATGAAAAAAAGGGGTACACATTTCCTGTGCTCCTGCATAACATGATAGTTTTCACGAGAGTTTAAATCCAAAACTCCACAATCATATTTAGACTATTGAATGAATGAAACTCCAAATGGTTGAGGATTAGGAAATGATATTAATATGACTGTACTGGTTTTGGTTGGTAACAAATCTGATTGACAAAGATTTATAGTGGAAAATGATGGTAAAGACCTTAGTCTTACAATCACAAACTTTTTTGGAATACATACCTTTAAACCACTAGTGAAACCATATTAAGAACTAACTTGGGAACAAAAAGCTTGATGGCGGACAAGATGATTTGAACCTTAGTCTTGCTTTTCACAATGTAATATTAAAAGGAGAAAGTGAAAAAGTGGAAAATGATGATCTAATTCTTAGTTATGGTCATCACAAACTTTTCTAGATATTTGTATCTTTCAACCTCTTGAAACCATCTCAAGAACAAAATTGGAAACAAGATTAATGGTGGAATACGACAATCTAGGCCTTAGTCTTGCTTTTCGTAATTTTATTTGCAAACCTACTGAAAACATTTTAAGACCAAAGTTAGAAACAAAAGTAAGGCCAGAAATCAATGATCTAGACCTTAGCCATACATTCACAAGTTTTTATGAAATTATATATCTTTAAACCTATCGAACTATCTTAAGAACAAAATTAAAGGCAGCAAGTTATAATCTATACTTTAGTCTTACTTTTCACAAATTTTTATGGAAATTTGTATCTTTAAATCTACTAAAACTATCTCTCAAGAACAAGATTGGAAACAAGATTGATAGTGGAAAATAGTTATCTAGACTTTAGTCTTGCTTTTAACAAACTTTTTTTGAAATAGCTGTAAACCTATTGAAATCATTACAAAAAGAAAATTGGGAACAACACCAAATGAGGAAAATGGTGATATAGACCTTAGTCTTGCTTTTTACAAACCCCTCTGGAAATATTTATATATATCTCTAAACCTACTGGGAAACCATCTTTAAAACAAAATTGAGAATAAAGTAACAGGTAAAAAATGATGATGAGACCTTTGTCTTGGTTTTCACAAACTGTTCTGGAAATGTGTTTCCTTAAACGTAACATATTAACAAAACTGGGAACAAAATTAAAGATGAAAAATAACGATCTGGACCTTAGTCTTGCCTTCGCAATCTGTTCTGGAAATATACGTCATTAAACCGACTGAAACTACCTTAAACATGAAATTAAAGGTGGAAAATGCTGTTCCAAACCTTAGTCTTGCTTTTTACAAACCCCTCTGGAAATATTTATATATATCTCTAAACCTGTTACGAAACCATCTTTAAAACAAAATTGGGAACAAAGTAACAGGTAGGAAATGATAATCTGGAGATCTAGACCTTAGTATTGCTTTTCACAAACAGTTCTGGAAATATGTATCCTCAAACCTGTCACAAGAACAAAATTAAGGGTGGGAAATGATGACTTAGATCTTCGTCTTGTATTTTGCAGATTTTCCTGGAATCCTGTAAATTTACGTCTATATTTACAACGCTATTGGGAAACCAATTCGCATGTTAATGTTTTCCCTAGAACATAATGAACATTAGAATGTTACATCAGTATAAAGTAACATTTAAAATTGTCGTTGGATGAAATTATCTACTTCGTTAGTTTGACCCACGACAAAATGATTAGCGACTAATTATCATAATGGGAATTTCAAACAAAAACTAATAGTTACTCGCCTATGGGTTTGTGTGAATTAAGGAGACACGCGAAAAAAACCTTCGAAGGCAACTAGTAATTAGCAGATTTTTACGATCAATGAAGTAAGCAGGACGGCTCTAAATAGAATATTGGACCACATATTGGATTTTGTGCTTCAGTTGTGGTGTTTCCCGTGCAAAGTACGCATTCGCTACAGGATGAAATCGTCTGGTTGGCAAGTGTGTTGTGCTGACAATTATGTGTTTTTATACCGTTACAGTTTGCAACTTTAAGATTATTTCTGGATTTTACATTTTATTCTAACAAATATAACTATATAAAAAAAGTAAGTTTCTATGTCTCTGTGTGTCGTGCGCTTAAACTTTAATTAAAAAAAGGGCGTCGCTCTATTTTTTGCAAGACCTTAACGATTCAGAACTAAAACAGTTACCAAATGAGGGCACAGCTTTTCTATTGAAACTAGAAGTAGACAAAGTTATGAACCAATCGCTAGTTGCAAAAAAAAAACGTCTCCGGATGATTAAAGAACGTGTAAATTCGAAAATTTTCACTATAAATAAACTTTAACAGTTGAGAAACATTATTTTTTTAATAGGAGCACCATTTTAAAACAAATATTTAAACGTACCTATTAAAAGATTTGAAATGTACACGAACTATCTAATAACTAACAAGATAGCTGATAATATGCATCCCCTTTTTGAAAATTAATAACGTACTTAGTTAAATTTATCAAAAATATGCAAACTATGCTTGAATAAATGTTCGGGCACTTTTTTGACGAGTATTCTTAATTTACACGCCAAAAATAACCAGCCAAAAATATTCTCTGTAGTTAATATAGTCCACGAAGTGAAACCTTCCTCGCTTGGCAAAAAGCAAATACTTACAAAATTTTTATTTCACAACTTTTACGTTTTATGAAAAAAAAATCCAACCAATGGCTTTTAACGCATGTTTGATCGTCTATTCTATAACGTCTAAAGCATTTTGCGTAATTGTTACATACATTACAAGTTACAAGCCATATTATAAGCTGTCTACATATTGTTTATTCGTTATATTGTTAGTCGATTCATCATAATTAACGAAAGGCTTCTCAAAGTTTACAATAAATATATAAAAAAGTTTACAATTAATAGATATTAAAATTATTAACGAATATTATTGTAGCACAAATGAGTAATTACAAACTTGAAGCTTTACACAAAAATAAAATTAATTTTTTATTAGTTCAATTACCAGAAGTTGCAAATGTTTACTGCTTGAATTGCCTTTCCCATATTTTAATCTTTTAATGAAACTAGTGAGTATTTCCCCATAACAGAATGGTAATTGCTATTCATAGCTTACTTTTGATAAGATTAAAACACCCGATACAACATGCGTTATAAGCCTGGATAGTAATAAAACTATCGATTGTCCTTCAGGACTTGTTTTCCAAAAAGGAAAAATTTACCTACTTTCACATAAGTGCATATTTAAAACAAATGAAACAGGAACCATAGATAAAAATTAAATAATTTTATTATTTTGTTTCAGGTAACTCTTCAGATTTTCTTCCTTTTCTTTTCTAAAATTTGGTTATTGATGTGTGCCGCCCGGTGGGTTTAATAGAAATAATAACTGCCACATTTGACAGTTAGTGGTTGTGTATTGTTAATTTATCGCTTTGATTTTTTCGAATCTCTAAAACTAAAAATACGAACCGGTAGTGAAGATGCCGTCGTTTAAAAAGGATGGTCAAAGGAAATTAAGCCGCAGGGAAATCAGTAGAAACCGGCTGGAAAACTTCAAAAAGGAAATAGAAACTGACCTGCACACTATTCCATTACGTAAGTATTCAGTACTGTTATCCTTTTTTTATTTATTATTTTTTAACATCTAAGAAAAGAATCAAAAAGCATTTTAGAATTGTGCTGGTAAAAAAACTAGCTTTTTCCTGGTTTTTAAGTAAGTAGAATAGCACCTTGCTGCAGTTAGTTTCATAACTAACCTTGAAAATCGATAAGCTTTTAATCAATAAATTCCACGAACCAAAAGCAAGAAGGATAAAGATGCGACGTTTTCTTTAACCCTACCCGAATAAACATTGACAAAGTTTTACGAAAATTCGAAAAAAGAAACAATAGAATCAAATAAAGAACACGTAACTCATAAAATCAAATAAAAAATAACAAATACCTTAACATATAAAATGCCAGTATAGGTATAAACTTAAATGTGGAAATTTCAACAGTTGATGTTGGACAGACAGACAGGTCATTTGAAGAAAGGATCAAAGAACATATCATACATTTTAAGAAATAGTAATTTATCAAATGCCAAACGCTTTCTATTTACAAAAACAACATAATTATAATAAATAATAATTGGGAACCAAAAATTACACATGCGTTTCGACTTTTAGAAATAAATAAATGCATTTATAACACCTATTTAAACTTTCATTCATATTGTCACCTGATCGAATTAGATTGTAGCGAAACAATTTTAGTGCATTTAAACAATTTCGTTGTTCCCATGTGTGCATCCGCCGTGGGTCAACAAAAATAAAAATAATATCGTTTCCGCTATTTAGGTCACGAACCTTTTACGAAACATCGAACAATGCCATTACGTAAAAGAAGCTGTTTGATACATATACGTGTTTGCTTTTATTCTTAATGTAATCGAACCCTGTGGGGCGTTGGCTTTTACGTTATTTCTCCCCCATTTTCCAATTGAACACTCAACTCGGTGAGAAATGTCTGAAAGCAAACAGTCCGTTTATTATAATGTTACCAGATTAATGGATTCGAACAAAAATGCGTTTAATTCCTAACCGTAAATAATCACAGAAGTATTGCGATAAACTGGACCAAAAGAGAATACGTTTGAGATATTCGAATGTGAATTAATTTCTTTGGTTGTAATACTTCGTAGTTCATATTATTGCAGACGTTTAATTATGCCTTAGGTGGAGAACGATATAGTAGCACGTTTCCACCATTGATACCCGTCAACACAGGGTAATAAATCATATGTGGCTACAAAGAAAATAGAAGAATGTTACGAAAGACTTTCCGGAAGTATCCGGAATGTTCCAAAATTGAGAACTATCCGACAAAAGGTAGTCGATATAATATTATTGATCATATAAATAGTGCAAACACGAGAAGCCCAAGCGGTGATATAAATTTATATCTCAATAGGCGTAATATAATAGAAATAAATACATATAAATGATGTGTAATCTTGTAAAATATTTTTTTTTTTGTATTCTAAATGATTTAAACTCAAAAGAAACGAATAATACAATCCATCATGCTTTATATTTTACAATGTGACTTAATTAACTTTTACTTACTAGACCATTTCATTAAATCTATATACTATATATAAGTGAAAATTGATGTTATATTTCAACGAATCTTCCACAGCTTTACGTAATCATAGGAAATATGTTTAAAATAGAAACTAAAACGTAAAATAGACGTGCTCAAGTTAGACATGCGCAATTATGATCTTCATAATTGTAGTCATTTACTATAGGACTCTAATATAACTATTACCTACTAAAAATCTTTTGGCCGTTTGACCCATGCAGGAAGAAATAGCTCAGAAATAATGAAAATTTTAAAAAATTTTATTTCAGTTTCTCAGATTTTTGGCATTGGCGAAATCACGAACTTTTAAATACGTAACAGCGTGGTGAAGTCTACCGCTTGAATTATAAAGAGCTTATTTTAGAAACAAGGACACATGTAGGTTGATATTTAGAATATCCCATTTAAGCGTCAAATTGCTACTACCACACTTTTGTTAAGAAATCTATTAATTATTTAGCATTAAGTATGTACTACTTTATTTTTAAATCACATTCGCAATAACCTCCCTGGCCATCAGGGCCGGAATTAAGCATATTCAACAGGTGCTATAGCACAGGAGTCTCCACCAAAACACAAAAAAAATTTTAATGACAAAACTTTATATTACAAAAACGTTCTTAGAAGAGATTTGAAGTCACAATGCCTTAATTATATTATGTACATGTATATGCATAGTTGATTAAAAAGGAAACGCAATGTACTTAAGGAAAAGTTGCTAATTAGTTTTGTCATCAACAGATTAACTCAGTGCTGACACAACAAAATCTGTAAAGTACTTGATGACGATAACCTAGAACCTTTGTACAAAAGATGATCTAATTAATACCAGAGTTATGAAAAACCCCCAAAAATAATTGATTTCTAATTTTAGGTGGAATTATTACTTGACAGCCCTAATTTACAGTTGTTGCATATCCTATGTAATGATTATACCCTTAGAGGAGCTGTAGAACCCCTAATTTCACTTCATATTATCGATAACATTTAATATAAATGCCTTTTAATTATTTCTTTACATTTGTACAATATACAAAATAAAATAAATACAAAAAAACTCTGTATGGAACTGCACGGTTTGCAGCTCCAAGGGCGTGATGCTTGATTGCTGTGCGGGTGCGCACAAACTGCGAGGAAGCCAAAGGCTAAAAATTTTCTGTAGCAACAATCGCACTAATTTTAACTCGTCTGTCTTTTTTTTATTAAATTAGTTTTCATTCATAAAAAGGAGAACGTAAGTTCTGCTACATCTGTCGTACCTCTATTTTGGTTCTGGCAAAAATTCGTGACGACCGATGATCTGCCAAATAAATAACCTGTCGAAAGTTTTTCCACGTCTCGCAAGGAAAATTGCTTTGCGTAAATGGTGCAGCCTTCGTATATGTGTATGTATAGAATTATAGGAAATAGCCGAACTAGTTTTAAGCAATTTCTACCACCTAGCAACACTGTTGCGAACTGATTGCGAGTTACAGAATATTTTTAACATTTCACACTTAAAACGCATACAATAATGAATAATTATGTATTGGACTACGCCTTACAGTCACAAGAAAAGATATTTCCCAATCGATATTTCCTTCATCGCTGTGTACTGTATATCTACCTTGATGACGTGAGATCTAAAGATAGAACAAAGAATACACTTTATACATCTAGTAATTAAAGAAAAAACGGGCGGGTGTTTTATTGATGGTAATCAAACAGAAAACCTGGTCGTTTCTTACAATATTTCGAAGTGAAATATATATACATGCATGTATATCTTAAATCAAAATGGAGGGGAGGTTTTTAAAACCGCCATTAACAGATTTGTTCTACGAAATCCTTAAAAAGTCGAAGTAGTTGAAGAAATTGTTGCTGTTTAAGATTTTTAGTATAAACTAGTAAGATTTCTTGCCTTATTCACAAACTTCTTGTCTCATTTGTTGTCTTGCTAACAAATGACTTACAGTTTCTTGTTCTTTTTGTCTTGGGATTCCCCAAACCTGATGATTTGCCTAAATTTGTAGATAAAGGATTTTGACAAACCATATAATCTAAATAAATATTTTGCAACCATAAAATGATAATCTATAAAATAGAAGAAGTGCATTCAGTGCCATTATTGGCGTAGCTATCGTAGAAGTTTGAAAAACGAAAGCAATCTTGGAACACCAGTTAAATACAGTTTAATTGCATATTCAACGCCAAAGAGGAAGGGAAATTCGACACAGTAATAAAACAAGCTTAGAAAAATAAACGGTTTTGTATTTTCGAATTTTTATTACACCTGACTTAAACAGAAGGAGAAAACATGCATAGAAGATTACGTAGAGTTCAACGCTATATAAATATCCGTTGAATTATCGAAGAAATAAGAAATTAAAAAATAAACATACTTAATATAATAATATCAAACATACTTAATATAATAATGGTGATTTATACTAAAAAGCGCAAGTAGATAAACAATAAGTAATACATTTTATGACAAGATGGCTGTCGTCCGCCATATTAAAATATTCGTGACTGTAGTAGCGCCTACGCTATTTACACCTTAAGATTAGTGATACTATTTTTAGATATTTTTGTATGTCGGAAACATAGAAAATTGTTTATGAAAAGCAATTTCTGTAAGGTAAACAATTAATTACATAATTTATGGACTTGTTTCGAAATAATGAACAGTATATACTCTGTATATACTGCAGATAGAAGATACCTATGTTCATTTAGGTAAGTATCTACATATATCTCACGTGCTTACAAACAACTCTTTGAAATTGGCAAAGAAACTGTGAGCAATCACAGAATCCATATTCACAAATTGTCGTTTGCTGTCTCTCTCATAAAAATGTACAAGCTGAACCTTGTGATTTTCATTAAGATTCATTGGACTTTTTGTTATACAAACAGTCTATATTTAAAGCGACAGAAATTTTGACCAATTAGTTGTAAAAATACTTAAGCAGAGAAGGACTTCATGCGATGTATATTAATAGACATCTTCATATTCATATCTTAAAATAAAATTGCTTTCAAACCACGCTCAAACGGAAGCAGTTTTAAAACTTTCTAATATTATTTCATTCTTGCTCATGTATGTTCGTAGCACCCAAAAAATGTTGCAGTCAATATAAGTCCTGCCCTAGCTTTGACCCTTGTCCCTTAGTCCCTTGTTACTCATTAGGGTGAAATCGTGGAGCTTTTTAATGTAGAATGAAGTAAATTAAAAGGAAATGAAATTATTGTCTAAAGAATTGGAAAAACCAACACGTAAAATCACGTCGCTTTTCGATATTTAATTTGGATCGAATCTGTATTCTAGTTTCAAATTCTCTGTCCAGCCTTAAGGAGGAAGTTATGATTGGCATTAGTGCCAGACAGCTGCAGATTGTCATAAATCAGACATTCACTCTAAGTAAACTTGACAAGCTGAAATATTTTACTGAAACTTTAGCAGTAGGTAACTCTTAAATGTTTTAAGAATATCGCGTAGTACCTGCTTAATAAGTAAAGAAGAATTTTTGTAATAAATAGTATTTTACGCAACAACAAACAACGTATGAAGGATACGTTTGATGTCCTTGAGCATCTAGCAATAAGTGAAAACAAAATACAAGCCTTATGAAACACATCCTTCGTTTATATTCTTAAAAAATTAAATAACTTTTAATTCACACATATGAGATCAAGAATCATTATCAGAAGTTATTAATCTTAAGACTGATTGAACACGTACCTACACTTCTCCCTATCCTGAGCTAATTTTCGCATTTCCCTACAGCTAGAACATTCCACATCCTTAACTATTTTTGAACAGTAATCTAATCTAGATCTACTTTTAATACTCCTCTTAACTCCTACTTCTGTTGAAGAATAAAGTAGCCTAAATAATTTTGACTTTTTGATATATGAATCACAATAATATCCTTCTTATTTTATCGAAGGAAAACAGGAAGTGAATGTAAAACGAAGACTTGTGGTAGGTAAACACTTTGTAGAAACATTTTAAAAGGTCTGTCAATCGGGCTAAAAGCCCCATCCGGTGTGAGGTGGACATCTTTGAGAATTGTTAATGTAAATCTATCGCCAAACCCTAATTATTAATTAAAGGTCCATCAAGTCAGTCAGTTCAATTAAAAACTTGACATCATTATGAAAAATAGCAAAAACTGTCTGATGCCCTGTACAGTTGCATAAAAAAGCAAAAAGTTTGTTTTTATATGAACATAATAGCAACAAAAAAGACAACAAAAATTATATAGAAAGCTTCCTGTCCAGTAAAATCTCATACCTATGTATATATGAACATAAACTACCCAGTATCAGGAATTAGGAGTTATTTAACAATGTTTAACATGAAATGTAAAGTTTCCTTCGCTGGTGAACTTTTCAAAATACGTACATAATTCCCTGTGCAAAACTATTAATTAAAGTTAATAAACTCACACAGTTTTCAACGTAATAAACAAATCATTTCACTGTTCACAACACACAGCAACCGTTTTCAGTATCGTAGTTTACTTTGTAACTAAAACAAAAAAGTTGAAGTTTCTCATTTCTTGTTTATCATGACGACTTTGGCCAGATATATCCTTGGCCGACATAAGGACACCATGCTACAATAAAACGAAAAAGTCTGTTCGAACTTCAGATGCCTGCTTTTAGATGTTTTTTGAGTTTTTGAATCCGCTGTTAGGTTGGAAACAAATGGCCTAAATTATTAACCGAGAATCAGATCTCATAACATATCTCTGGTTCCATCTACTCGTAAACTTACTATGATAAGACGTGGACCAATATCATCATCCTGATAGGGAATATATGTAGGCCTTCCTTAGTGCTTTTGCTCCTACATTTATCACTATCTCTTCATGTCTGAGGACGTGTTCTGCCATCCTATTTTTCCTTTTCCTTATTCCTCTGTTCTCATAATTCTGTCCTATTCTATCGACAGCATCTTCATCGTCAATCTATAGCATCACAATTGTTGCATATGATCCTACTAAATATAAATCATGAAGTATATTCGGAGAGAAGAACTGATGTTTATTATTTCAAATTTTGCAATATCATCTACATTCAAATTGCGAAACGAGAGCAACGAAAACGAAAAATTGTAGACATTCATTTGTCGAACAGATATTTGGAACAGACTATATTTATTTACATTTCAATTGCCGGTTGTGATAAAAGATATTTTTAAATCGGCAGATTGAATATAAAATACACTGGACCATGTTAACTTAATTCTACCGGATACGTTTAACATTAACGTTAATTCCGTTTTGTTATATTTATCGGTTTCTAAATTCAACCAGACACACATATATATATATAGAGACAAGACAGCTTAACTTATTGAAAATGTATGTTTATTCCAAAATGAAGTTAAAAGTCGTATCAAATGTTCAGTTCAGTTCAGTTCAACCTCATCGATTTGAATTGAATTTTCGAAGAAAATGATGAACAAAAGATGCAGTAGATGTTTTCCAATGAACTGTAGATCTCACACAGTTTCAAAGAATATTATTGATAGGATATGATATATAACTTAATCGTTTGTACAGGAAGAAGCCTGTTGAGTTCTGTAGTTATTTGTAACATTCTATTTTGCGCGTCAATTTTCCAGGAAGTTAAAAGTCTAAGTTGCATCGTTCTAAATGCAACAGTTTTACATCTTACATTTAAATACTTGATTAAAATGATTAAATAAATGGTAATACAGTATATAGTAGATAAAGTTATAGATAAATGTTGAAAATCAAAAATAACATTTGCTATTTGAGTTTCCATAAATAAATTAGTTGACGATTATACCAAGAAAACTAAACTTTACATAAATGTCTCGTTATACGTATGTAATGAGAGGTTTAATACGCATTGAAATTTTGGCAACATTTTAAACGCATTAATAACACCAAATCGTTGTTTATATAGCAGTAATTTGAGAAAGTATTTGTTTATCCAATAATCGTAGTTCAAAGTTTACAATCTATTGTATCTGCTCCATCTCGAAGAAATTAAACTAAAGCAACTTTTAAGCAAGCAACAGCAGATTTTATTTTGTCACTACCTAAATATTTGGCGGAGGCGCTTACCATTTCTTTCAGCATATCTAAAAATCACTTCTGTACATAATGTTGTGTATAAATGTTACCAAAAATACCAGAAAATGGGAACCAAATATCAATTACATCTGTCGATGAATAAAGCGCGACCAATGTTCAAATGTTTAACGAAATTAATTTTTTGTTTATAAAAAACAAGTTGGACTTCAGCCAACCTAAAGAACTCTACACATTTGATTAATTGCTTTCAAAACTTACAACCAGCAACGTTTTTAATTTGATTTATAATTAGAAATGCCTTTCGAATTTTGTTAAATTTAATTTCTTAATGTATTGACGCAACTTCTTTGTGTTCCAGAAAGCTTATTTGCCCAATTGGACTCACATCAACAGTTTGGATTGAACCACGAAAAAGCAAAGAAACTCCTTGAAGATCATGGACCTAATGCCCTGACGCCTTCAAGGAAAACACCAGAAATCATTAAATTCCTTAAACTTCTCTCAGGAGGCAAGTCAATTAGAATACCATCATCATAAGCTCGTTGGTCCTAAAGCTGGTACATGGTACTGGTAGATACACCAACCACTCTAATCTTTCGTATAATTAGCTAATCTTCGCATAAAATAATTCGAAGTGGTCTGTATTCTGTCGAAACTGCAGACGCGGATTGCGATTTCGATCTTTTTGGATCTCATCAGCGCGTCGCAGGCAGCTCCGACAGAACACAGACCGACTTTTACCTGCTGTCTTAACAGTGCGTTTCACATGCCCCAGAAGGTGTGCTACCTACCTATCTGGCCTATTTCTTATTGAAGTCTTCTGCTCTTCGACTTTCTCCAATCCCTCCTCATTTCTAACCTTCTCTATCCACGGTATCCTCATCATTAGACTGTAACACTACATTTCGAACGCTTCCCATCTTTTCTTTTCCTCTGCGCCCATCGTCCACGTTTCGCGCCCATATGGAGCAATGCTCCAGATATAAAATCCTTAACAATTCTTAAATTAAATGTTATCGAACGTAGAGGTGACTTCTTTTTGTTAAAGGTAACTCTACCCAGCGCTATCATTTGTTTTATATCTCCTTTCCTTTGACTTGTTCTCGCAAATTTGATCTGGTCATGCAGATTGTGTTTCGGTCATGCAATTGACACTATAATTGGTCTAAGTTTGATTCTCTCCATCGATAAAATCACTGATGGAATCGTTTATTCGACGTTTCGCCATCAGATGTAGATAATGGCTTTTGCTGCGGTTGTACTGAGGCTAAGCCTCTTTAGTACTATATCGAAAGAAGAGGATCAATCCAATACCACCACCATCAAGCCTGAATGTCGAACACCATTCAGATAGATTTTAGGCCAATTTTGCCATCCATCACAGCCTTTTTTTTACGCACCGTAAATCCTTATTTCTTTTTCCTTTAGGATTTTCAATATTATTATGGATTGGAGCCTTCCTGTGCTTCGGATCCGCTTTAGTTAGATTTCTACACAATGAGAACTATCAGGATGAACTGGTATTGGGAATTGTCCTTTGTAGCATCGTCATAGTGACCGGAATGTTTATGTATTATCAAGAAAATAAGAGTTCCAAAGTGAGTGAGTTTATTTCAATTTCTTACACCTAGCAAGATATTTATACAGCATTTATGAAATTCCGTCTCTTTGATGTTTACGGTGGACTTGTTTATGTGGTTGATGCTCCAGGTTTATTTTCTTTTTCATTTTTGTTATGGCATCTCATCATTTGATGGTTTGAGCCTATTGGCAGTACAATAAATATTGTAGTGTTATTGTTTATTGAAAGCTCGGTTCCGGATAATCCCCAATATATATCTACATAGTTCATGGTTTTTATCATTTTTTATTTCTAAATAAATCGTAAAAACTGTTGCTACAAAAGAGTATATGATTCAAAATTTTGTCATTTTTATTATCCTTCAAGATTACGATTACAGGTACGATTTAAAGTAATATTCAATTCTTGCTTGTCCAAATTAGGGTTTGTTTTAGTTGCAACATCTGAATTTCAGATTCAATACTACCTACCAATCAAATTTTTTATTTTTGGACGAAGGAGTCTAGACCCTATAGAGCTTTTTGTTGACAATTTAATTAATTACATGTTACAGCATAGGAAATTAAATTTCATCATGACATTTGTATGAAAATGAGAGACGGGACATTTTATTTCACGCTCAGTTAATCCAAATAAAATTTATAGTATCGATGACCTTTATCGGTTATTTCCCTAGTCAGTAAAGGTCAAATAGAAAACGTTATTCTACCTAAATTCATAAAATTAATACGTACCTACCCTATATACCCTCAAAGGTAACAATAAAAGAGAGATGGGTGAAATCAAGAAAACTTATCTTCTCATATCGAGTCCTATCAATGAACAAAATTATTTTTATTAATCAAGGAAAAGTTCTAATGATTTTGATGAAAACCATTGTTATGAGTGAACTGAAACAAAGAAAGTTGTACTTTAGTAGTAATAAGTATTACCATGGATAACTGTTTTAGATAATGGAGTCGTTCGGGAATATGATACCAATGAAAGCCACTGTAATAAGACAAGGGGAGTCTATTCAAATATTAGCAAGGGATGTTGTAGTGGGAGATTTGGTAGAAATTAAAGGGGGCGACACCATTCCGGCTGACATTCGTATTATAAAAAATCAAGGATTGAAAGTACGTCTTCATTCTTATTAATATTACAACTAAATTCTATCAAATAAATCAGCAAATTAATTGATAAGGTCTACAGTAGAATAATAATCGAATATTCAATCAATTGTGTAATTTAGTTGCTATTTGGAATAGTAACAATTAAAAAAATTTGAAGGTTGACCACTCAGCTATTACTGGAGAGTCGGAGCCATTACCAAGATCTACTGAATCCACAAGTGAACAGCTGTACGAATCAAGAAATGTTGCCCTGTTTTCAACAAATGCTATCGAAGGAACCGCGATAGGTAAATACCTTTTTCAATCTTAATACAATAAAAGACAAATATAATTTTCAAATTTATTTAAAATAAATGGTCTGGGACACAAATAAAATGAGGACATAGACATCACTTTAAAGACTTTTGGAACTGTGTTGCTCCTGGTTTATTCGGACATCATTTTGCAATCCCAGATCATCATTCCTGAACGCACTAAAGGACCTAAAGGTCTTACTGTTAACTGTATTTTATAGGTGTAGTGATAGCATGTGGTGATAACACAGTGATGGGTCATATTGCCGGTCTAGCGGTTCGTCTACAGGCCGACAAAACACCGATCGCGAAAGAAATGGAAAGATTTATGAAGATCATCAGTGTCTGGGCTCTTTTTCTGGGATTCGTGTTCGGCATTGCATCTCTATGTTTAGGCTACAGTTGGCTAGAAGCTGCCCTGTTTCTGATCGGTATTATTGTTGCAAATGTACCTGAAGGTCAGTTCCATCACCTCGAAAATAATTCAATATGTACAATGAATTGTAAACAATATCTTTTACAGGATTGTTAGCAACTGTTACCGTTTGCTTATCGGTGACAGCTAAACGAATGGCTGCAAGGAACTGTCTGGTGAAGAACTTGGAAGCAGTCGAAACGTTGGGTTCGGTTTCTGTTATTTGTTCAGACAAAACTGGCACATTAACCCAAAACCGAATGACTGTTTTACACGTTTGGTTTAACAAGAAACAATTAGAGGTTGATGTTCAAAAGAATGAAATTATAAAAGGAACTAAATCTGACGAAGGTAAATTTAAATAACTGACGCTGTTCTTCTTCAAGTCTAAAGGTCGTCGTCGATTGGAGTCGCTTCCTAACGTTTCACTAGCACAAGTGACAAGGTTCGTCAGAGGTCCTTCCAAATTAGATTCTGGATCTGGACTGTCGACAGTATCGGAGATGGAAAGGTGAGAACTGTCCACAGTATCAAAGATGGAAGGATGAGGACTGTCCACAGTATCGGAGATAGAAGGATGAGGACTGTCCACATTATCGGAGATGGAAGGATGTGGACTGTCCACAGTATTGGAGATGGAAGGATGTGGACATTCTACAGTACTAAAGAAGGAAGAATGTGGATTGTCCACAGTATCGGAGATAGAAGGATGAGGACTGTCCACAGTATCGGAGATAGAAGGATGAGGACTGTCCACAGTATCGAAGATGGAAGGATGTGGATTGTCCACAGTATCAAAGATTAAAGGATGAGGACTGTCCACAGTATCAAAGATTAAAGGATGAGGACTGTCCACAGTATCGGAGATAGAAGGATGAGGACTGTGCACATTATCGGAGATGGAAGGATGTGGACTGTTTGCAGTATTAGAGATGGAAGGATGTGGACTGTCGACAGTATCAAAGATGGAAGTAAGAGGACTGTCCAGAGTATCGGAAATGGAAGGATGTGGATTCTTCACAGCATCGGAGATGGAAGAATGTGGACTCTCCGCAGTATTGAGATGGAAGGAACTCTAAAGAAGCTTGCCACTCGTTCTAACGAAACATTAGGAAACGACTCCAACATACGACAGCTCTTAGACCCGAATCAGAATAGCATCAGTTCAAAGGCGAAAGCCTTTAATAAGTCAAATTTAAAGAATTTTTTAAAAAATGAAGTGGTTTCGCCTTCTTAATTTGATCCAAGTATATCATTACTTAATTTTTTTAAAGGATTCTCAAACTTAATGAGGTGTGTGGCATTGTGTAACCGAGCAGAGTTCAAACCCCAACAGGAACATCTCAACGTTTTGCGAAAGGAAGTTAGAGGAGACGCATCCGAGGCTGCCTTACTAAAATTCGCAGAACTAAGCGGCAGTTTTGGTTCGGTAATGACGTTTCGAGATCAAAATCCGAAGCTGTTTGAAATTCCTTTCACTTCAGCCACGAAATTCCAGGTAGGTAGGTCAGAGTTTCGATTTCAAAATCGAATCTTTTGTGCAATCAATCGAATGTCTTTAAATTATCATAATTTAATTGTTTCAAGGCAAGTTTACACGCACTCGATAACGGGAACGAAATGTTGTTGGTGGTAAAAGGGGCTCCTGAAGGAGTATTGGACAGGTGTAACAAAATCTTACTGGATGGTAAAACAGAAACGTTGGATGACAATGTTCGCACCCAATGCGAGCATGCGTGTATGAATCTTGCAGCAAAGGGTAAGAAATTTGCTCTCACTCTTTTTAAACCTATGTATTAAAATGAGTAATTACCTCATTAGGGGAAAGAGTATTGGGATTTGCTGATCTAGTCCTGGAGGGTCGTTACAACAGGTCGTTCCATTTCTCGACTGATCCTCCCAATTTTCCACTCGTTGGCCTACGATTTTTGGGATTTGTATCACTGATCGATCCTCCACGACCTCAAGTAACTGACGCCGTCGCAAAATGCCGATCAGCTGGCATAAGAATTATCATGGTTACTGGAGATCATCCTGTAAGTCTACATTTAATAGAAATATTAACTTTATTCTGTAAAAAGAAAAATCAAAGTCAATATAGGCTGAAAAGTTGTTTATTCGTAAAACAAAGGGATGAAATGGAAACTGTTATTCTATGACAAAAGCACTTAACTATCGACAGACTTGTTAATTGCCAAACACACTTACCATTCTTTGATTTAGAAACTCTCAGTACAGTGTCTTAAATAGTTATTTGAATACCTTGTTCCTTAAAAGCGCTACTTAATTTTTATATTACAGCAAGCATATCATCATAAAGGTCATTGAAAGAAGAAAGGATGTAACGTCTTCTTTCTGAAAAAAAAAAGGTTTGAATTTCGTTTGGATTGATATCCCTCTCCTTGTTGCCATATATTTACACATGTACAATGAAAATAATAAACTACTTCTGATATCAGAAATTATTTGCGAGACGACTTTCATTCGTAGTTCATGTTGACGTGTTTCCTTTTTGTAATATGTACATATATTTTGCCCCCTTTGAAACCCCGTATGTGCTCAAAATTATAGAAAATTTTTTGCACACAATTGGGTACTTATAATAGTACTTTTGTCAATATTACGAGAAATGGTGGATGCAATTGGCACGTGCTTCTGTTAATTTAATAATGCTTTTGAAGTATGCGTATTTTCTCATGGAAACTTGGATATCAAAAATGTTCTTCTTGTATTTTAGGTAACAGCAAAGGCGATTGCAGAATCCGTAGGAATAATAACATCAAACAATACAATAGACGACATCCACAAAAGAAAACAAGCCAGTGACTCTGCTATCGTCATAGACGGTACCAAATTGAGATCCCTTTCGAGTGATGAAGTTGACGAAATATTGTATTCCTTCCAAGAAATCGTTTTCGCAAGAACGTCTCCACAACAGAAACTACAAATTGTGGAAGGGTGCCAAAGGTTGGGAGAAACAGGTAAGGGCAAATTAACGTCATAATCTACCTACACTGAACTTTTTGACATGACCATGAACGGTTACTTGTTCAAGGCGAAATACTTTCCAATCAAACATAGATCGAGAAAAGACCTTAACTATATCAATAATAAAGATAAGTAAGTATTGTGTGTGATTAAAACCTTTTGTCTTTAGTTGCAGTAACAGGTGATGGCGTTAATGACTCTCCAGCATTGAAGAAAGCTGATATCGGTATTGCGATGGGCATCGCAGGAACCGAGGTGTCACATCAATCTGCGGATATGATTTTACTGGACGATAATTTCGCCTCGATAATAACAGGAATCGAAGAAGGTCGCAGGATCTTTGACAATTTAAAGAAGTCCATCTGTTACACTCTAGCTTCAAACGTGCCAGAAATCTTACCGTTCATTGCCTTCGTATCGTTGGACATACCACTGCCACTAGGTAAGTTTTGGTCCTGAAGGACGTACATATACATATATTCATGTTGTGACGTGTTTCAGGAGTAATCGCTATTCTGTGCATTGATCTGTTGACGGATATGATGCCCGCAATAAGTTTAGCCTACGAGAAGGCTGAAAGTGATATCATGATGAGACCTCCCAGGAATCCAGCCGAAGATCACATGGTCACCGGTAAACTTTACTATCTCGCCTATGGACATTTGGGTATGATTGAGGCCGCTGGCGGTTTCTTCGTTTATTTTATGATCATGGCGGAACATGGATTCTTACCAATGAAATTATTCGGTAAGTTAATATTTTTAAGGTAACATATAAAATAGATGGACAGAAGAATTATAGATGCATGATCATTATTAGAAAAAGACATAATAAGGTTTGGCTCATAACCAAACTAAATCTACAGGAAACTATGGTCCCAAACCACATCCGAAATACGTTAAGATTTATATCAAGATCAAAATTGAAACATGACAAAGACTGTAGAGATATGACCATAATTAAGACTGACTTACAAACGTATAGGCATAACAACAAGATCAAAATTAAACTTAGAGACAAATGTAGAAACCAGAACCAAAATACGTGAAGACTTACACCAAGATCAAAGTTGAAACCAGAAGTAACATATTGACTTAGATTACAATCGAAAGCTGTAGATTCAAGTTCAAGGCAGAGTCAAAAAATAGTATACCAATGACAAAATTAAAATTTAGTCTATATGTATAACAAAAACCAAGATTATGGCATAATCTATTGTATCTATATAAATAAATCATGCATCAAAATTTAAGATTAGGTCTGAGGTTGAAACATGCTTCTTTACTAAACTTACGTCTTCATGTGGTCAAAAATGTGATTTTCATTGCAGGATTAAGGGAAAAATGGGAATCGGAAGATATTAACGACCTGGAAGATTCATATGGACAAGAGTGGAGTTATTCAGAAAGAAAAGTCTTGGAATACACTTGTTACTCAGCCGTGATGGTATCAGTAGTCGTAAGTCAATGGTTCGACCTTATAGTATGCAAGACTAGAAGAAATTCATTATTTAAGCAAGGTAAAGGTGTAATAAATAAAAGTATTTATATTAGGCGTACCAAGCAAAATGTCGAAACCATTAAAAACCGAAACTGTTTTCTTTATTTAAGGAATGGGAAATTGGATTTTGAATATAAGTTTGATTGTGGAAACTCTTTTAACTTGTATACTATGTTACACCCCAGGAATGTACTATCTCAAATTTTATCCTGTTCACATCCGAGGGTAAGGTTTGGTTATATTTATCAATTAGTTGACTACGTAATAAAAATTTTAAAATGTAATAAAATATCTTCGCAGTGTGTTATATCAAATATATATATATCAATGAAATCTGATCGAAACTGATTTTTAATTTGTTTCAGATGGCTCTACGCTTTACCATTCGCCG